CAGGGAAAGATACATTGTGGAAGGAGCAGACAAATGGGGGCGGGGATGAGGATGTGGGGTTGTAGAGACGGAAAATCTGATTTTTTCAAAGTAAGTTTTAGGTTTTATTATTATGCCCCTGAGGAATGACCCCTTTTTTGCCTGTGGTGCTATTTTAGGTAGCCACAGAAGGTGCAGTTGAGTAACCGCAGGAACTTATTGACTTAGCTAGTGTGGAACCGTTTTTCCTTTGTAAAGTCAGTTATCATGAGTATGAGGAAGAAGCACTTTATGTACTTGATAATACAACATAATAATAGAAGCTTAACAGTACTTCCCAGCTATGTGACAGACACAATGCTTAAATACTTCCCTACATAGCTCACCTAATGCTCTCCACAAATCCATAAGTTTGTGGCCTAAAAGAAATGGAGATACTTTCAGTTGGATTTTGAGCTAACTCAGTCATTTTCTCCACAGTCCAGAGTGAGCTCCGAGCTGGAAACACTTCCTCATTTGTACTTTTTGGCTGCTTTACAGTGAAGTGACTGCATCCAGTTTTGGTAAGAATGTCCTTCTTGGCATCATGTACATTTGGGTCATATTAGGTCATTAACACCTTCAAATCCAGCTAAACATGTAACACCCAAGAAATAGGAAAGAGCCATGTTTTATGTGATTAGTTCAGTTTGAGACTTTTGAAGTAATTTAAACACTTGAAACTTGATTTTAAATAGTTTCTAGTTAGGGTAATTTGAAATCTTCTTGACATTCTAATATTTTTTTTTTCAGGTTAAAATTAATCTACAAGGAGATATATAGATCGTGGAAGCACTAATCTCGGAGTAAATCAAGCTGGCTTCACATTACATTCTGCAATTTATGCTGCACGACCAGATGTGAAGTGTATTGTGCACATTCACGACACGCAGCAGGGTGCGGTGAGTGTGCCATCCTGGTAGTGCCTTAGCTTTTAAAGCTGTTTAGTAAGAGGCACTTCTCTGAATTGCCTCCTTTGTTGTATCAAGTCAATAACCCTAATTTTATTGGATTAAAAGAGTTTAACAACTAAACTTGACTTTCTTAAAGAAATTTTTTCCTTTTAAGGGATCCATATACTATCTAATTTTGAAACCTGTAATATTCTGTAGACTTAACAATTAGAAAATCATAGAGGAGGCAGGTTAGGTTTCAGTGTTTTTTTTTTTTTTATGAGGACAGAGTTCCACTTTGCTGCCCAGGCTAGAGTGAGTGCCGTGGCGTCAGCCTAGCTCATAGCAACCTCAAACTCCTGGGCTCAAGCAATCCCTCTGCCTCAATCCTGAGTAGCTGGACTACAGGCATGCGCCGCACCATTCCTGGCTAATTTTTTCTCTATATATATATAATTAGTTGGCAATTAATTTCTTTCTATTTATAGTAGAGACGGGGTCTCACTCTTGCTCAGGCTGGTTTCGAACTCCTGACCTCAAGCAATCCACCCGCCTCGCCTCCCAGAGTGCTAGGATTACAGGTGTGAGCCACCTCACCCAGCCAGGTTTTAATGTGTTGAAGACCATGGGGATGTGCAAGATGACAGCAGGAAGAAGATGCCTTATTTTGAAAAGAGGAATGGGAAAAGGGGGCAAGCAAGCCGGGTAGGGGACGGAGGGTTCTTAGGTGAGAGACTTGAGCAGGCTGTTGATAGGCTGTGGGGAGGAGCCAGGGGAGAAGGAGAGGCCTAGAAACCAACCTGCCCAGCTTTTCCACAGATGTCCTGTCTGGAGCCAGCGGGCCCAGCTGGATTGAGACTGGGGAGAAGAAGCACAGACTCTGCAGGCTGTTCAAAAGCCTGGCCTCCAAGTTCAGAGCTTTCCAGAAGCGCCGCCCTGGCCACGTCACCAAGCTTGGTCACCCTTTGGGTAAATGGGCCACCAACACAAGCCCCAGACCCCTCAGTATGAAGATGCACATTCCAGTTGTCAGTGCAAAGTCATATGAAAACAAACTACTCTAGAACTAGACTTTACAATCACCAATTTTATATTAAGGGCTTTTTGGACTTATCGTCATGACAAATGACCTAATTGATTTAGCAACTATATATACGTAATCTATCTTAATGTTTAATGTCATGCATATTAGATTATTTGAATGAATATTAGCCCAGGTTCATTTTCACTTTGAACATATGGTTCTTAATGTGAACATCAGAGATTTTATTAGATATATCATTTTCTGAATGATGTAAGTTTTCCTAAAAGAAATGCATGCTTTCCATCCAATCCAACCATAAAATATCCATGGGTTTTTAAGAACTATTTAGAGTCACCTTTGAGAATATAGTCATGAACAGCTCCACAAAAGATGTTTTAAAAATTATTCAAATAACTTTGCTTAGTAGGGAGGTTTCTTTTTAATGTGAGTGCTAAGACTATAAAAGGAGTTAATTTGGTATTGTCTTTTGAGATTAACTTTTTCTTGTGAACTATTATGTATATAGATAAGTATTTGAATCTTTGGAGCCTGTTCATCTAGGGTCATAATGCTGCTGTCTGTAGAAGGTCTTCAAAATTAGCATATTCTAAGGCTACTTTGGGGAATTTTTTTTTTTAAACAGAGTCTCACTTTGTTGCCCGGCTAGAGTGCCATGGCATCCGCCTAGCTCACAGAAACCTCAGACTCCTGGGTTCAAGTGATCCTCATGCATCAGGCTCCCGAGTAGCTGGGACTACAGGCACATACCAACCAGCCCAGCCGCTAATTTTTTCTATAAATTTTTAGTTGTCAATTAATTGGACCACTGGTCCAATTGTTTCTATTTTTAGTAGAGATGGGGTCTTGCTCTTGCTCAGGCTGGTCTCGAACTCCTGACCTTGAGCAATCTGCCCGCCTTGCCCTCCCCAGAGTGCTGGGATTACAGGCGTGAGCACTGTGCCGGCTACTTTGGGGAATTTAGGAAATTTAAGGGCTAAATGAACACTTAGATTTTTTTTACATTGGGACTCTGTATTGAATGAACTGTTGTGCAGGGAAAGATACATTGTGAAGGAGCAGACAAATGGGGCGGGATGAGGATGGGGGTTGGTAGAGACGGAAAATGATTTTTTCAAAGTAAGTTTTAGGTTTTATTATTATGCCCTGAGGAATGACCCTTTTTGCCTGTGGTGCTATTTTAAGGTAGCCACTAGAAGGTGCAGTTGAGTAACCTAGCAGGAACTTATGACTTAGCTAGTGTGGACGTTTTTCCTTTGTAAAGTCAGTTATCATGAGTATGAGGAAAAGCACTTTATGTACTTGATAATTACAACATAATATTAAAAGCTTAAGGTACTTCCCAGCTATGGCAGACACAAGCTTAAATACTTCCTAATAGTCACCTAATGCTCTCCAACAAATCCATAAGGTTGTGGCCTATAAAGAAATGGAGATACTTTCAGTTGGATTTGAGCTAACTCAGTCATTTTCTCCACAGTCCAGAGTGAGCTCCGAGCTGGAACACTTCCTCCATTTTTACTTTTGGCTGCCTTTACAGGCGTCGAGCCCGAACACGCGGCCCGCGGAGATTTTATATTCTTAACCCTGTTATACAATACTGGAAGAATCAGGTGAGTTTAGCAGAAAGATGACATAAGGGGAAATAGGATAGTTTCAGATATCTGAGAACAGAATGGCAGAAGAGATGGAACTTGTTCTGTGTTGTGTACTAGAAGCAGTAGTAATAAACACAGGAAGACAGACTTCTGCTCAATGTGAGAAAGAATGTTTTAATTATTAGCTTCCCAGTTTCTATTTATTTGTCCTAGTACAATAGTGCCCATGACATGGTAGGTTCTCAGCAGATAGTTGGGGAATGAAGAAATAAAGCCCCATCACTAAAATTAGAACAAGCAGACCCAGGATGTGTTTCTGTTTGGGCCACCAGAGAAGAAATCATTACAGTCCTTAGGAGGTTGGACTAAACACCTTAAGTCCTTTCCAACAAACACTAAATTCTGCCTACTTGACCCTAATTAGGATACTGGGTTTCTCAACCCGGTAGTAAGTATATTCCAACTCAAATCTTTAGGAAGTCTCTTGAGTCTATCCCAAGATCATTATAAAAACAAGGTGGAACGTTTTTGAAGGCAGTGCTCTTTTCTACTGCTCTGTTCCTAGCATGAAGCATATGGTGCACAATGTATACCAAGTTTTTTTTTTTTTTTTTTTTTTTTTGAGACAGAGTCTCACTTTGTTGTCCAGGCTAGAGTGAGTGCCGTGGCGTCAGCCTAGCTCACAGCAACCTCAAACTCCTGGGCTCGAGTGATCCTTCTGCCTCAGCCTCCCGAGTAGCTGGGACTACAGGCATGTGCCACTATGCCCGGCTAATTTTTTATATATATCAGTTGATATATATATATCAGTTGGCCAATTAATTTCTTTCTATTTTATAGTAGAGACGGGGTCTCGCTCTTGCTCAGGTTGGTTTTGAACTCCTGACCTTGCGCAATCCGCCCGCCTCGGCCTCCCAAGAGCTAGGATTACAGGCGTGAGCCACAGCGCCCGGCCACCAAGTCTGTATTGAATGAACTGTTGTGCAGGGAAAGATACATTGTGGAAGGAGCAGACAAATGGGGGCGGGGATGAGGATGTGGGGTTGTAGAGACGGAAAAATCTGATTTTTTCAAAGTAAGTTTTAGGTTTTATTATTATGCCCCTGAGGAATGACCCCTTTTTGCCTGTGGTGCTATTTTAGGTAGCCACCAGAAGGTGCAGTTGAGTAACCTAGCAGGAACTTATTGACTTAGCTAGTGTGGAACCGTTTTTTCCTTTGTAAAGTCAGTTATCATGAGTATGAGGAAGAAGCACTTTATGTACTTGATAATTACAACATAATAATAGAAAGCTTACAGTACTTCCCAGCTATGTGACAGACACAATGCTTAAATACTTCCCTACATAGCTCACTTAATGCTCTCAACAAATCCATAAGTTTGTGGCCTAAAAGAAATGGAGATACTTTCAGTTGGATTTTTGAGCTAACTCAGTCATTTTCTCCACAGTCCAGAGTGAGCTCCGAGCTGGAACACTTCCTCATTGTACCTTTTGGGCTGCTTTACAGTGAAGTGACTGCATCCAGTTTGGTAAGAATGTCCTTCTTGGCATCATGTACATTTGGGTCATATTAGGTCATTAAACACCTTCAAATCCAGCTAAACATGTAACACCCAAGAAATAGGAAAGAGCCCATGTTTTATGTGATTAGTTCAGTTTGAGACTTTTGAAGTAAGTTTTAAACACTTGAAACTTGATTTTAAATAGTTTCTAGTTAGGGTAATTTGAAATCTTCTTGACATTCTAATATTTTTTTTTTCAGGTTAAAATTAATCTACAAGGAGATATAGTAGATCGTGGAAGCACTAATCTCGGAGTAAATCAAGCTGGCTTCACATTACATTCTGCAATTTATGCTGCACGACCAGATGTGAAGTGTATTGTGCACATTCACACACCAGCAGGGGCTGCGGTGAGTGTGCCATCCTGGTAGTGCCTTAGCTTTTAAAGCTGTTTAGTAAGAGGCACTTCTCTGAATTGCCCTCCTTTGTTGTATCAAGTCAATAAACCTAATTTTATTGGATTAAAAAAAAGTTTTACAACTAAACTTGACTTTCTTAAAAGAAATTTTTTTTCCTTTTAAGGGATCCATATACTATCTAATTTTGAAAACCTGTAATATTCTGTAGACTTAACAATTAGAAAATCATAGAGGAGGGCAGGTTAGGTTTCAGTGTTTTTTTTTTTTTTTTATGAGACAGAGTCTCACTTTGCTGCCCAGGCTAGAGTGAGTGCCGTGGCGTCAGCCTAGCTCATAGCAACCTCAAACTCCTGGGCTCAAGCAATCCCTCTGCCTCAACCTCCTGAGTAGCTGGGACTACAGGCATGCGCCACCATTCCTGGCTAATTTTTTCTATATATATATATATATTAGTTGGCCAATTAATTTCTTTCTATTTATAGTAGAGACGGGGTCTCACTCTTGCTCAGGCTGGTTTCGAACTCCTGACCTCAAGCAATCCACCCGCCTCGGCCTCCCAGAGTGCTAGGATTACAGGTGTGAGCCACCTCGCCCAGCCAGGTTTTAATGTGTTGAAGACCATGGGGATGTGCAAGATGACAGCAGGAAGAAGATGCCTTATTTTGAAAAGAGGAATGGGAAAAGGGGGCAAGCAAGCCGGGTAGGGGACGGAGGGTTCTTAGGTGAGAGACTTGAGCAGGCTGTTGATAGGCTGTGGGGAGGAGCCAGGGGAGAAGGAGAGGCCTAGAAACCAACCTGCCCAGCTTTTCCACAGATGTCCTGTCTGGAGCCAGTGGGACCCAGCCTGGATTGAGACTGGGGAGAAGAAGCACAGACTCTGCAGGCTGTTCAAAAGCCTGGCCTCCAAGTTCAGAGCTTTCCAGAAGCCCGCCCTGGCCACTCACCAAGCTTGGTCACCCCTTTGGGTAAATGGGCCACCCAAACAAAGCCCCAGACCCCTCAGTATGAAGATGCACATTCCAGTTGTCAGTGCAAAGTCATATGAAAACAAACTACTCTAGAACTAGACTTTACAATCACCAATTTTATATTAAGGGCTTTTAGGACTTATCGTATGACAAATGACCTAATTGATTTAGCAATACTATATATAATCTATCTTAATGTTTTAATGTCATGCATATTAGATTATTTGAATGAATATTAGCCCAGGTTCATTTCACTTTGAACATATGGTTCTTAATGTGAACATCAGAGATTTTATTAGATATATCATTTTCTGAATGATGTAAGTTTTTCCTAAAAGAATGCATGCTATTCCATCCAACCACTAAAATATCCATGGGTTTTTAAGAACTATTTAGAGTCACCTTTGAGAATATAGTCATGAACAGCTACCACAAAAGATGTTTTAAAAATTATTCAAATAACTTTGCTTAGTAAGGAGGTTTCTTTTTATATGAGTGCTAAGACTATAAAAGGAGTTAATTTGGTATTGTCTTTTGAGATTAACTTTTTTCTTGTGGAACTATTATGTATATAGATAGTATTTGAATCTTTGGAGCCTGTTCATCTAGGGTCATAATGCTGCTGTCTGTAGAAGGTCTTCAAAATTAGCATATTCTAAGGCTACTTTGGGGAATTTTTTTTTTTTTAAACAGAGTCTCACTTTGTTGCCCAGGCTAGAGTGCCATGGCATCCGCCTAGCTCACAGAAACCTCAGACTCCTGGGTTCAAGTGATCCTCATGCATCAGGCTCCCGAGTAGCTGGGACTACAGGCACATACCACACCATGCCCGGCTAATTTTTTCTATAAATTTTTAGTTGTCCAATTAATTGGACCAACTGGTCCAATTGTTTCTATTTTTAGTAGAGATGGGGTCTTGCTCTTGCTCAGGCTGGTCTCGAACTCCTGACCTTGAGCAATCTGCCCGCCTTGCCCTCCCAGAGTGCTGGGATTACAGGCGTGAGCCACTGTGCCCGGCCTACTTTGGGGAATTTTAGGAAATTTAAGGGCTAAATGAACACTTAGATTTTTTTTACATTGGGACTCAATTTTACTTAATTAAATGTAGAAAAATTATACAGTATAATTATTGCAAACTTTTATAAATTGTTTTCATTTTTATTTTAAATTACAACACTTTATTGCAGCATCAGCAAAGGTCAGATTTCTGAAGCTGGTGAAGATTAGGCAGCATTTCCATGTGAAATGTTACAACTTTACAAGTTTTGTTTCTTATTTAAATTATAAATTGTTTTTTGAGACAGAGTCTTGCTCTGTTGCTTGTGCTAGAGTGAATGGCATCATCACAGCTCACTGTAACCTCAAACTCCTGGACTCAAGCAATCCTCCTCTCTCAGCCTCCCATAGTTGGGACTACAGGCATGAGCCACTGCTCCAGGCCATAAGTTTTCTTTTATCTAATTTTCAAATATTTCAATCTTACAACTTAAGATGAAAGGTACATAAAAACCTTACAGCACTTGGAAAACTACCTTTGTTTTTTTTTTTTTTGAGGCAGGGTCTCACTATGTTGCCCAGGCTGGCCTAGAACTCCTTGGCTCAAGCAGTCCTCCCACATCAGCCTCCTGAATAGCTGAAACTACTGGTGTGAGCTGGAAAACCTCCTTGTGTAATGCACTGGTTCCTCAGAGGAGCCTGTTGTCTACTCCTATGCTAGACCCTGTGCTGATTGTGTCATTAAATCCAAGCTTACACAGCATTTATAATCAGTGGGGGAAAAAAATCCAGAAAGATGTGGATTTTCTTTTGAGGCTGTCTCAGCTTAGTGATAGCTTTTATTTTAAAATGTGGATTGTTAATCAGCTCCAGAAGTCAAGTATATCTTAAGTTCTTGAGTTCATTTATTTTCAAGAATAGAACAAAATAAAATATTTCAGTCACTGTGTAACTCTGGTTTTTCCTTCTTTCATGGTGACCACTTGGTCTTCTAGGTCTCTGCGATGAAATGTGGCCTCTTGCCAATCTCCCCAGAGGCTCTTTCCCTTGGAGAAGTGGCTTATCATGACTATCATGGCATTCTGGTTGATGAAGAGGAAAAAGTTTTAATTCAGAAAAATTTGGGGCCTAAAAGCAAGGTCAGTAGGCACCTAATCTGATATTTAAATTATAGTGGGGAGAAGGAAAAAGCAAAAGCGTCAGTCTTCTTGTCCCACTCCTTAGCCTTCCTGCTTTCCCCTCAGGTTCTTATTCTCCGGAATCATGGGCTTGTATCAGTGGGAGAGAGCGTTGAGGAGGCCTTCTACTACATCCATAACCTTGTGGTTGCATGCGAGATCCAGGTAGGGGCTGGCCATTCTAATCTATCAGCTTATTTGTTTCTGGGGTTCACTTGATATTTGTCTTGTAGGAATGAGTCTTTGAGCAATGTCTTTGCCAAAGATGAGCTCATGGATTTGGAAATTGATCAGATTGACAAGTGCCATTTCACTGGTTTAAGTTGGCAAAAGATAACTAGGCTTTTCATTTCTAATTTAAAATTTTTCAAATATACAAGAGTCCCTACCATTTCTGGAGTACTGGTGTGTGCCAGACCCGGCATCAGTTGCTTTGCCTGTGTCATCTCATACATTATTTTATGTGACCCTCACAGTACTCCTTTTGAAAGCAGATGCAGACAGGTATACTTGCCCACTGTGTCACAACTGCGAGCACTCGTTCAACATCAGTTTGCACAGCCCCAAGTTCGCATTCTCCCCACTGCTCTCTGGCTTATGTCTGTGGGATAATGAGATCCCAAGTCCTTCATAGGCTCTTAAAGGTACTTTGTTTTCCTATTTCTCTGCCAACTATGAGTGCCCAGTATTTTTGTCATGCTAAAGAAAAATTTCTGAAAATAATCTTGTGATCAGTCTATCACTGTTCATCCTATGTTTTTTATTCTTATACTATAGTGATTTGTTTTCTATTGAAACCTGCATTCTTGTTCAAGTGATTCTCTCACTAAGGAACTCAAGCCATGGTGTTTGCTTGTTTTGGAAAAGGTTCGAACTCTGGCCAGTGCTGGAGGACCTGACAACTTAGTCCTGCTGGATCCTGGGAAGTACAAAGCCAAATCCCGTTCCCCTGGGTCTCCTGAAGGGGAAGGCACTGGATCGCCTCCCAAGTGGCAGATTGGTGAGCAGGAATTTGAAGCCCTCATGCGGATGCTTGATAATCTGGTAAGAATGGTGCCACCACTTGATGGTAAAGCTTTTGTTCTAAAAGCACTAATTTTGTTTTTATAGAAAATGAAAAAATCATGAAGAAGCACCAAGGTTATTTAACTTCAGAGCTAAATCATGAGAAAATATGGAGGTAGAGCTCTCTTGTATTATTGTATTTTTTTTGTGGTAACCTGTGTTTGCACTTGGATGACTAGCAGAACCAGCTCAGTAACTGCCATCTCACAAGCAAGGGGAGGGGGATACTTTGTAAATCAGTCAGTCAGTCCCGTGTTTGGGTTTTTAATGTAATTTCTAGCTATTTGGGGCCTGATTACTGTGTTAGTTGTATATCTGCTGCCTGTCCATGCATGGGAGACCCTGATCCAGCATGGTCCAGAAGCTGGGATTGTGTGGCTTGCAGCATAATTGCAGGGTAAGGAGTGAGGCCACACAGTGATAAGACTACACACAGGGTGTGTTCTATGTTGGGAGGTTTCAGTAAGGGATTTCATCCTTTTGCAAGGAGTGGAGAGAAAACTTAATGTAGAAGATGACCCTTGGCAAATGACCTGAAAGAATAGTTAGGATCACACAGGCTGAGTTGAGAGAAGGAAGGTATCTGTGGATAAGGCTACAGCATAACTAAATGGGGAGATGAGCAGTGGGGGGATGAGAACTGCGCTGTAAGATGTACCTTTCAAATTCATCTGATTTTACTAGGTTAATTAAATGCTCAATTCCCAGAGCCATATTATGGAACTGTCCTTGGGGTCTCAGCCCCGCAGCCACAGGATCAGAGCCAGAGCTCTGCAGTTGGGCCCCTTCCATATGCTATAGGTCAGCCTTCTTAGATGGGGTTCAAGAGGGGCCCTTTTAATGCTGCATGACATTAAGAAGTGCAGATGTGGCCAGGCGCGGTGGCTCACGCCTGTAATCCTAGCACTCTGGGAGGCTGAGGCGGGTGGATTGCTCGAGGTCAGGAGTTCGAAATCAGCAAGAGTGAGACCCCATCTCTACTATAAATAGAAATTAATTGGCCAACTAACATATGTAGAAAAAATTAGCCAGGCATGGTGGCGCATGCCTGTAGTCCCAGCTACTCGGGCGGCTGAGGCAGGAGGATTGCTTGAGCCCAGGAGTTTGAGGTTGCTGTGAGCTAGGCTGATGCCACAGCACTCACTCTAGCCTGGGCAACAAAGTGAGACTCTGTCTCAAAAAAAAAAAAGAAGTTCAGATGCAAGGAAATACCATGTCAGTGTGGGAAAAGAGAAGCCTTCCCAAGGGCCAGTGTCCTCCTGTGTTGCCACACCAGTCCTGGAGTGAGTGGGGCACAGGCCAGCTTAATAGAAGAAAGTCCCAGCCATTGGACTCAGTCACAAAGGAAATAAATGGCTTCAGGGGGCAGAAAGTTTTTAACTTTCCTGAAGATTTTGGAACAAAAGGAATTCATGGATCTGATTTGAGATGTGCTAAGCATCCTCTTCTCACTGAAATTCCTTGCACTTGGGAAAATGCTGTTTGCTGCAAAGAGAGTTTTCTGCCAGAAGTGATAGGTAGTCACAGGAGTATACTCAATCAGTGACAGAGGAACCAACAGAGAGAGCAGAGCCTTGTGTAACTTTTGAGTTCATTTCATCAATAAAGATTGATTACATTAACTGACCATCTGCTGTTGAGTCATGAACAGGACAGAGTTCGTTGCCCTTAGAGTTCATGACCTAGTAAGGGAAATGGACAAACAAATCCAAAATGCAGCCCTGCCCCTGTGGTCTGTGAGGTGACAGGCATGATGAGAGCTTCAGGGCAGAGATGGCCCAATTGGTCAGGGAAGCAGGAAGAGGAGAAAAGGTCACAAAGAAAGTGGGAGAAGCAGTTGTAGTTAGGCGGCCAGGAGAGTGTAGCTGCAGGAAGTCACAACTGGAAAAGCTTTAGTGGTGGGGTGACTGTGGCCCAGGCAAGTTGTGTCAGGAGCCAGAGCCTTCAACCAGGCCAGCAAGGCAAGGAGTGCTGAGCTGGGCCCAGTGGTATAGCCCCTTCCTCCTGATAAGAGCCTTGTCATTTTACTGCTCTTCTATCTAAAATTCAAGTGAGGAAGGAGAGAGAGGAATCCACACCATCCTGCCATATCTTTTGCCTTTAGTACATTTTAGAAGGTCGAGAGAGGGAAATCAAAATTAGGCAGTAATTCTGATTTGACAGGGGAGGAAGATAAAAGATGAATGATTAGTAAGTGAAATGTTCATTACAAAAAGTATATTTTATCATTTTAATATTAGAATGCCATGTAGTTTATAAGAAATAACTGGGTAACAACCATTGATCATAGTTTATGGTTTAATTTAATATCTGATTAGCCATATATGTTGTTTGCTAATAATTTAATAGGGTCAGGAATAGTTGACAATTTCTACACTATAAGAAATATTTCATTTTAACATTTACATTAAGAAAAAAAATGCTAGATTATTTCCCCCAAAGTCAAGATATAACTTCAGTTTCTCAAAGAAGGAACATATCCATGTTTTTAACTATAAGCCAGATAGTTGTTCTGAGTTCTGAATATTACCTCTAATTTTGGTTTGATAGCACTTAGAGGGAAAGAGTAAAGAAAAATCCATACCCTGTCGGAATAAAATGGTGTTTGTGAGTCCTGGGTGGTTTATCCTGAAGTCATGGAGATTACTCAGAGTCCTGGCTCTCTAAGTAAGAGAAAACTTGATCATGCTTTAAAACAGGTGTTTTTATTTGTTTGTTTTTTTTAAAGGAAATTTAAAGTAATAAGTACATTTTTCTGCAGTCTTTTTGTGACTGAGACATCTTTTATTATTCTTCAACAAAGTATGTGGGAAAATTGCCAGTGCAGGTTTTTACCCATCTTTTGAGGATATTTAGGAAAATAAAAATGAAAACAACTTGTTAGTGATTGTTGTTACCTTTAAAAAACAAAAAAAGCATTAAAGGCGTGGTTGGTAATGAAGGTAGCCTCTAAAGAGGAGCAGAACCTAGAAGTCAGAATTCCTGAATTGAGAGGAATGTTTCTAGGACACCAGCAAGCAGGAGGCATGCCACCAAATCATCTTACAAGTCTAGCTCTGCACAGACCTTTCAAGTCTTAGTTCTCTTGTCATTTATTGTGAAGGTGCTGTGAGTGACTTGGTTCAGGTGTGAATCTGTTAGACGTTTTAGCAGACACCTGTCTGACATCCAGTGTAGCACCTCTCTGTGCTGTGTTACAAATTACCACAAACTTAGCAACTTAACACAAATTTATTGTTTCATAGTTTCTGTGAATCAGAAGTTGAGGCACAGCTGAACTCAGTTTAGGTCTTAGGGTGTCATTAAAGCGGTAGTCAGGGTGTTGGCCAGGGCTGAGTTCTCATCAGAAGGCTTGACTTGGGGAGGAAGGACCCGACCCACTTCCGAGCTCCCTTAGGCTGGGGGCAGACATTTTTTATGGCTGTGGCATCCATGACAGCTTGCTTCTTCAGAGCCAGCTGTGGAGAGAGACTCTGGAAAGATAAGTGCTAAACACTTTTATGTAATACAGCCCATCACTTTTTGTGAATTCCACTGGTTAGAAACAAGTCAGAAGTCCCACCTGTCCTCAAGGGGGAGGGGATTCCAGGAAGTGGGGACCTGGGGCCCCTAAGTCTATCTGTCACACCTACCAAACACCAAGCACTAGATAGAGAAGAGGTGAGTAAGACACCATCCTTGCCCTTGGAGATACTGTCTGGAGGACTCAGGGAATGAGTCAGTCCAGCAAAGGTGTGAATTGAGTGGGGCCTATCTTTTAAAGCATAGCAGATGGTTGGGAGGCTTGAAGTTGAATGTTGTTATATTCAAATGTAAAGTAATTCTGCTGAGAACCAGTTGTCATGAGGTATGCTTGTTTACCTTACCTGAAGATTATCACAGTATTTAAATTGGTTTAAAAAGTAACAAAATATTAAGTAGGTTGATGACTATAACCTGCATAGTAACCAGCAGCAAGTAAGCCATTTGTGTTTCAATTTTAACTTTCTATTGAAATACAATATATAAACAGGAGTGTGCATATATTGTAGGTATTCAGTTTGTTAAAGTTTTAAAACTGAACCCTCTATATAACCAGCACTTAGAGAACAATAGCAGCACCTCAGAATGCCCCCAGAAGCCCCTTTGGTCACTCATCGCATCCCAAGGGTGACCACTACCTTGCCTCTAACAACAAAGAATGGCTTTACCTCTTCTGTACTTTTTATAAATGGAATCATAGTGTGTATTCTTTGATAGTTGGCTTATTTCACTTGACATCATATTTGTGACAGTCATCCACATTGTTGGATTTAGTAGTAATTATTCTTTTGTATCATAGGCCATTATATTCATATACCACAGTTTATTCATTCTATTATTGAAGGACTTTTGGTTGTATCCAGTTTTGGTCTATTAGGACTAGTGTGGCTGTCAACATTTTAGTACCTGTTTTTTTGGTGAATGTGTGTGTTTCTCTTGGGCATAAAATTAGGAGTGGAATTGCTGAGTCATAGGGTATGTGTATATTCAGCTTTTGTAGATAATTCCCAAGTGAAACCCTGTTTTGAGATCTGGAATATTGATTGTCTTTCACTCTGCTTGGACCCTAGGGCTACAGAACTGGCTACCCTTATCGATACCCTGCTCTGAGAGAGAAATCTAAAAAATACAGCGATGTGGAGGTTCCTGCTAGTGTCACAGGTTACTCCTTTGCTAGTGACGGTGATTCGGGCACTTGCTCCCCTCTCAGACACAGTTTTCAGAAGCAGCAGCGAGAGAAGACAAGATGGCTGAACTCTGGCCGGGGCGATGAAGCTTCTGAGGAAGGGCAGGATGGAAGCAGTCCCAAGTCGAAGACTAAGGTGTGGACGAGCATTACACACGATCACGTGAAACCCTTGCTGCAGTCTCTCTCGTCCGGTGTCTGCGTGCCAAGCTGTATTACCAACTGCTTGGTCTGTGCCTACCTTACTGTTCATAGTTAGATGATGTAGAGCAAGTTGGGTAGCTGGGGCTTCGGAGGCTTTGGGAATCCAGCTCTTCTAACCTAGACATAAAGTGAACTTTCCTCATTCACTGTCTTTTAGTCGGGACCAAAATCCACTTTAGATACTAGCTAAAATTCAAGTAATACTATCTGCTTGAAACTGCTTAAGATATAACATACCTCCTTGGTAATTCCAATGTAACCTGACTCCATACATAGCAAAATACTAAATAATTTACATGTATTAACCTAAAAGTAGGAGATCTCCTTTAATTCAAATTGTATTCAAAGACTCTTAATACTTGATGCACAAAAAGATAGTTCTGTCATAAACCTGATACTTTAGTGTTGTAAATTCCTGTGGTTTAACATCAAGTCACTAAAGTCTCTTCTTTAAGTCTGTAGTGTTTTCTTAAGCAGTTTTCCCTGTTGGCTCACTAGTGTGTTCTCTACTGACCCATGTCCCCTCTTCTTAGCCTTGTTCCCCTGCTTTCTATCCCAAAGCCTCCGAATGCACAAAGCCGGCTGCCCTCTGCATGGACTGTTGCATGTGAGTAGACGGCCATAGTGGTGAGTCTTCTGACTCATGCTGGGTGCGGCATGACCCAAGTGCAGCGCAGGCCATCTGCAGGCACCAGCGAAAGACGCTGCAAGGGGTGCTTCATTTCAGTTTTAATGCTGCTCAGAGTTACCATTTGACCTGAAAACTGCTCCGAGGTCCTGGTGCTGAAACATTCCTCTGAAGATTGGTCTTTACTGTTTCTGTAACCTAGCCTTTGACCATCTGCCCAGATCCTGCTTTAAGATGTAGGAGAAGTCCATTTTCAAAAGCCCCTATGAGACTGGCTGGGCCAGACTCATCTATGCATGGCTAGTTCTATATGAGTTCATTTGAAATTAGGTTAGATATTCCTAAAATCACGGGCAGCTAAATAAGCAAAGTAGAGCTTTCTCCCTTATAACAGTGCTTTTACTTTTTAGATTTATTTTATTTTTTTAAAAAGTTTTGTCTTCCCCAGGTGGTCCTGGTGTTTTCCTGAGGCACAGTTGGTGGGAAGCCTCCGTGCTCCTGAGCAGCTGTGTCATGTGGGCAGGGACCCTGCGTGGCTGTGGGGCTCAGAGGGTTGGAGTGTATCTCTCCTCTTCCCTACTCCTGCCCTCCCTTGTCTCCTTTTCCCCCTCTCTATCTCCCTTTTTTTTTTCCTATTCCATTTGTTTATTTTTTATTTGTTTTACTTGTTAAAGCGAGTGGACCTTAAAAAAAAAAAGAAACACCTTTCTGCTGATGATGTTAATCCATAGTGCTGAATTGCTGTGATGAATTTTTCCAAAGTGCCTATGCAGTGGCAACTTCGAGCTTTATTTACTATTAGCTTGAAAAATAACTAAATCACTTTAGTCATTTTAGATAACATATACATTGAAGGGGAGAACTTGTTCAACATTTAAGTTTGTTTAGTATTGTTCTGGAGTAATACAAATTTCCATGCAGTGTTCCCAGGTTGGTATGTTTTAACTTATAACAATTGTTGTTAAATTGTCAAATGTGTTTAAGCTTCTGAGGTTGTTGTTTTCATGTTTTGACTAAAAATTATTTTTAATAAGATGCTGGAGTTGTTTTTATCTGAGAAGATACCCCCAGTGAGTACCTCACAGCTCCACGCTCATCCCACAGCCTCCTGTTCACAGCGGCTAAGCATTTGACGCTTTTGTTGCTTTCTTTAAAGTTGTATGGTTTATAACTATCTCATTGCCTCTCAAAAATATTCTGAAAGGCTTAACATTTGCTCTCAAAGATGGACTTGTTTTAATGTTCAGTGCCTACTCATGCCTAAGAATTAGAATTTGATTAAAAAATCTTATATTTGATTTGAGATCTAAAAAAAGTATAAATGGAAGGCACAGTATGTTGACGATATGCACTGATATCTAAAACAGCCCTTAATTAAGGACTCATGAAGCGCTTCAAGTTTGTTTGGGATATTTTTGTAACACTCAAAAATATTAAGTTATATAAAATATTTGACATCACCAAACTCTTCTTCCAGGTAGCTACTGTATAAGTGTTCATACAGTAATTTTCTTTTGGGTTGAACTAGTTATGCAAGCAGTGCATTCTGATGCTGTCATTTATTTTAATGCAGAACTTTGGTGATGCCCACTCTTGCCTCACAGTACAGACTCTTCCCTTCCCCTGGGTAGCAGCATCACATTGCTTTTCATGACCCTGTCATCTCATGCTTCCAGTTGGCTTTGGTGTTGGATGACTCTCAGGGCAGTGAACCAATGGTCTCTGAGGACCTCCCTGCAGGTCCAAGGGGTTATGGGCTCAGCTCTGTTGTCAGCCCACACTGTGGCTCATATTTCAACTGGGCTTTCTAGATGGTCCTTTTTCACCAGTCATGGCTCTGATTTACACCATTAACTGGTTTTTATGTGGCCACATCCTGCTCCCATGGCGACTCTGCTGAGTGACCCAGGAGATAGGAGCATTGGTTCAGTCCTCTCTGTGATGTTCAGTGCATGACCAGATGTGAGATAAATTGGACAGATTGGATACTGTGGTGTCATTTATTGTTGTCATAATCCTGACTTTTCAACTGTTCTTGATATTACAGTGGACTAAAGAGGATGGACATAGAACTTCCACCTCTACTGTCCCTAACCTGTTTGTTCCATTGAACACTAACCCAAAAGAGGTCCAGGAGATGAGGAACAAGGTGCGTCTTGCCATCAGCACTCGGTGGGAGCTTGGGTGTGGGGTGGGAAAGGGATGCTGGCTGCTTCAGGGGCAGAGGGTATGCTTGCTTCTAGCAGATGACATGTGCCATCACCACTGTTGCACTGCTGCTGTTCTACTAATAGTGAAAGTGTGAGCAGCATGCATTTTTGGGCCCCATTGATTCTTGAACTTATGTTGGCTTACAGGTCAGAACTGGAAGCTGCAAACCCTGTTCCTAGCAAGAGTAGACAACTGCCCCCGCCTTTCAGGGTTCATTTAAAGAGTTGTGGACAGCGTTTGGTATATCAGAACATGAGATCTGTCAGCATTCACATTGTCACTAGAAGATAGGCACATAGGGAACCCCCCATGTTAATGAGTGCAGTGAGAGATCTGTGCCCTGCCAAAGCCGTATGGAAGGTGTGGGAAGTCGGGAATAGTCCCTTCTGTCCCTCAGACCTATGCCCTCCTGAGATTGGAGAGTGCTATCAAATAGGCATGGTCGCTCAGGGTGTTGCTGCGCTGTCCTGCCTACACGGGGTGGGGCAGAGCAGCAATGTGGCTTCTGTGTGGTGGGCCAGGTGCACAGATGGCACGGCTCCCAGACACAGTGTGTCTTCTCAGGATGTTGATGTGTGTTTCTCCTTCCCGTCCTCAGATCCGAGAGCAGAACTTACAGGACATTAAGACGGCTGGCCCTCAGTCCCAGGTTCTGTGTGGTGTAGTGATGGACAGGAGCCTCGTCCAGGTGAGAGCTCAGAGTGTCTCTGACATGAGTGGGTGATGGCTGTATGGCTGTCTGCTCCCAAGTTATTGTTAAATAGAGAGAGAATGACTTTATGAGGTAAGTATTCTAGGTACCTAGTTATCTTTGTTAAAGTCTTCATGATGAGAAACAACCCAGGCATTTTTCCTTGAGTTCTAGACCAAACATAAGCATGCTGAGAGTCGTGTCCATCCCTCTAGTCCCTGCTCCCTGTAGTGCATGCATATGTGAAGGTGGCACACACGCCGCCACCTTGGGGACCTGGATTCGCCTGGGTTTGGTAGTGTACTGTGTGAGGTACTGGAAGAGGGTGGGCTTGAGGGACTTTTGTTCTGGTATATATTGCTGTCTGCATCAAATTTGGTGCCGCTTGGGTTGCAGAGGGGTAGATGCTGTAAATGTGGTACACATTTACATGCATTTCTATAAAATACTGTACCTCGTGGCACATTGAGGATAATTGTGTAAGTAGTTATCTCCAAAGGTTAATATGCCACCTAATGCTTCACAACCTGACTGCAAGGTAGATGAATTTGGTCAGCTGTGGTCCTGGTTTTGCGTTCAGTGTCTGCATGTACCACTGTCATCACTGTCGCATTCACCACTGTCCCTGCTGCATGCTCTTAGCCGGCTCCATTCTGTGCTCTAGGTGGACATTTTGAAGGCTGGGCCTGGTTGCTCTGATGACTCAGTTTACTGTTGCAGGACGCACCCCTCTCTGACTGTACGGAAACTATCGAAGGGCTCGAGCTTACAGAGCAGACCTTTAGTCCCGCTAGATCTCTCTCTTTTAGAAAGGTACTCACTGCCTTGTCCTTGACTCCCTGTCGGTCCGCGTCGCTCTCCTCCCTCCCTGCCCCTCCCCGTCTCCTCTTTTCAGGCATTGTCTTACTTACTGAAGTAGCTTGAAATGGATTTTTAAATTGTTTGTAAGATTGTACAGAAGGTTCTGTTCTGCCTACTCTATTCTTTAATTAAAAATTTGGTGTGAGATATTTTAATAATTTTCAGCATCCTTAGTTGCTGAGAAATGGCCATTCTGACGGATGTGGTGCATTTCTGCAGTTCTGCATGTGGCTCTGATTGGTGCATGTTTTGAGTTTTGGCATTTGCCTTTTATGCAATGCAGGCTGCAGGCAGCGGCCCTCCCCAGTGTGCCCTGCTACCCCTGCTTGTGCAGCTTTGACCGAAATGTAATGAATGTAGCCATCAGAGGTCATGTCATTTAAAAATGTCATTTCAAAGGAATGGGAAGTTCTTTGTCAGCCCTTGTTCATAAAATGTACTTATTTTTACCTTAAAAAAAGGCCCTAGATAATTTTTTTTAATGTTGCAGAAGAGAAAGGCTTTCTTTTTGGGCATTCATACCTATCATGCATAGTAGGTGGATGATCTGTCTGGTCTAACTCGCCCAACTAGAAGGAAACCTTCCATGAGCATTTAGGCTGCTAGTGTGCAGAACTTGGTGCCCAGGGCAGAAAGTGGCAGACTGCATTTAGAGTCTTAGCTGGATGTTTGGCCTCTGTTCAAAGGAAAATTCTAGTGGTTGGCTCTTTCATTTAATGCATCTTCAGTGGGATACAAGTATCACTAAAGCGTTGTTACAATTGACAGAAGCAGATTTCTACCAAAAATTCTATATTCTTGTCTGGAATCTCTACTAGTAACATTGTTTTACATATTTATATATTAATTCCACAGGTCCCTTTTTAGCTGAAGTTCTTGGAGGAACTTCTCAGAGCAAAGGAGAAAGGTGTACTCCTTTCCCTGTCAGCTTGTTTTTCATCTTTTGGTGCTTTGGGCCATAAGCCATTGTGCCATGTTAGTTAATCACTCACTATCTCAGGTGTGTGAAGCCATGTGCAGTCCGTGACCCGCTGCTGGCTGGTCATGCGAGCCATCGTGGGTGCAGCCCTCTAGCTTTATGGGGCTAGAGCAGAGTCACAGACAGAGTCCCTGCTGTGCTGTGTCTCTGGGGTTGTAGTACATTTAATGGATTTTATTTGTATTTTTTAAAGGGCTATCCAGAAAGCAGCCTGGTTAGCTGTGTTAAATCATCCAGATACACCTTTGTCTGCTTTGTCTCAGCAGTGTTCAGACACAGATGTATGTCACAGTCACCTGGGGTGCTTCATGAGGGACAGATGTAGGCCCCAATGTTCAACACTTTGTTCTCTGTGAGTGACATATGCAGGTATAGTTAGCTGAGTAACCATTATACTTTGACCCCAGATGAAGAGACGTTGGCCCCCTTCCCCAGGGTACATAAATTCATGTTCCAGCCTTTTGTTTTTTTCTGCCTTTCTATTTTTGAAGTTCATATTTGCACTCTTCATCATTATCCCACCCTGACTATGCATATTTCATTTTCATGGTGAGAATGTGCTTTGACTTTAGGGATGTCCTTTACTGGGGCTGTTATTCTACTTCTTTTTCTTTTTTTTGAGACAGAGTCTCACTCTGTTGCCCGGGCTAGACTGCCGTGGCGTTAGCCTAGCTAACCTCAAACTCCTGGGCTCAAGCAATCCTTCTGCCTCAGTCTCCCTAGTAGCTGGGACTACAGGCATGTGCCACCATGCCCGGCTAATTTTGTCTCTATATATTTTTAGTTGTCTAGCTAATTTCTTTCTGTTTTTTTTTTTTTTTTTTTAAGTAGAAACGAGGTCTGTCTCTTGCTCAGGCTGGTCTCGAACTCCTGACCTTGAGCGATCCTCCTGCCTCGGCCTCCCAGAGTGCTAGGATTACAGGCATGAGCTACCACACCTGGCCTCTACTTCCTTTTATGTGGACCTCAGAATGCAGATAGTGGTGCTCCTTTTGAAACATGGTGCTCCTTGTTGGCAATTGAATTTCTCCTTAACCAAGTAAAAAGGTCTGTGTCCTGACAATTCCTCTTCCCAATGACTTGCTTCCTGTCTGGGGTTCTATGTCACTGGTCAGTCATGGAGTGCACCAGACACCCTGTATCCAGTGTGCTGGGTAGTGACCTCTCAGTGAGCAGTCCCGCCTACCTCAGCCTCCCAGAGTGCTAGGATTACAGGTGTGAGCCACCGCACCCGGCCAGCATCAGTGATTTTGGATTCTCCTGTTTTCATTTGTTTTTGGAAGCTGTAATTAAGTAATGTGTATGTGCGTGAGTTCTGTTTAACTTCCTCAGAAGTGGACCCCGGAACATTTGGGGGACTTTTCTTGCCCCCAGGCCCAACCTGGCCAAGCTATGGGGCATAGAGCTATGCTGGGATAGGTGAGTGTGCGTGACCCGCACCCCAGGTCTGCCTGCCCAGCTCCTTCTCTCTCAGGCCAGCCCAGCCACTGTGGCAGCCACCAGTACCCGCAGCTCTGCCTCCTTGTGTAAGATTGGATGTGGACTGGGAGCCAACCTGTGTGCTTTTGCTTTGCTTTGTTTCCTTCCTCTTTTTTCTTTGATATAAATTCTCACTGTTTTCCAAATTCTTCAGACACATCCTGGTGTCTTGGGACATTTTATCATTTCTGAATGTTTTGGTGTAAACTCCAGGAGCTGGTTATAAACTAAATGCATAATCAAAAGAACAGAACTTACCTGTGCCCTTAGAATATAAGTAAATCTCCAAGCATGCTTTACTCCGAATGTTATGACTTATGACATTTACTCATGTCATGAAGGAAAGTGACTTTTCAGCACTCATGTTAATGGCCTCTTCTGTCCCTGTCTGGCAATGAGGAGGGGAAATCCCCTGAGGTGCTCTGTGCTTCTGAGTCTGCACTTGGGGCCTTTGTTTCTGAAACCTGAAGGATTTTTGTAGGCGGCCTTTGGTTACATTTGCTTTGTAGCACCAAGCCATGTTTCCACATCTACCTCTGACGGCTGCTGCTCAGCCCAGGCCTTGGCCCATGGTGGTGCAGTCTCAGCGGTGTCTGCGCTCCTGGAAAGCCTCTCGCCCCCCTTCCTACAGCCTGCCTGGGAGGAGGGAGAGTCCCTGCTGGGCGACTCCTGTGGACTGTGCATCCCTTTTGTCCACAGGGGGAGTTGGTGACAGCCTCCAAGGCCATCATTGAGAAGGAGTACCAGCCCCACGCCATTGTGAGCACCACAGGCCCCAACCCCTTCAACACGCTCACAGACCGTGAGCTGGAGGAGTACCGCAGGGAGGTGGAGCGGAAGCAGAAGGGCTCCGAAGGTGAGTGCTCCAGGGTCCTGGGCATGGGGCAACTCCAGAAGGTGAGAGAAAATGGTCTGGAAACTTCTCTGTGGTCCAGGTTCTGGCTGTAGGTGGTGATGAGAATAGTTGCATGCATCAGAGACAAACTAGAGCATTATTCAGTATGTAATTTCAACCTAGTCATGCAAACAAAAGCTGAAAGAATTGAAAAGTTAAACACACTTGTGAATGGTCCCAGTTAGGAGGGACACAGGTGTAAGAGACGATATCAGGGCTCCTAGGCATCTGTATACTATATTAAGATTGGGAGGGGACAGGAACCCTCTGCCAAGTTGAGGCTGAACTTGAAGATGCTCTGCAGGGATTCCATCCAGCAGCTGCAATGCAGGAGAGGAGGGTGAAAGGAGAGAAGGTAACATGTGGGGCTTTGGTGGTGCCCACAGGGCTTGGGCTGTGAGGGCACTGGTCCTTCTTCCAGGCCTTCTGTCTACATGGAGTGATCAGAACAGTCACAGAATTCACAAATTTGGATTAGTTACTGGGAAACCTAGCCTGAGTTTGGGGGGGGGGTGTATTTGGTTTTTGAGACAGTCTCACTCTGTTGCCTGGGCTGGAGTGCAGTGGTATCATCACAGCTTGCTTCAACCTCAAACTCCTGGGCTCAAGCTATCTTCCTGCCTCAGCCTCTTGAGTAGCCGGGACTATAGGCACATGTCACCAATGTCCAGATACTTTTTCTATTTTTTGTATAGATGGGTGTCTGGCTCTTGTTCAGGCTGGTCTCAAACTACTGGCCTTAAATGATCCTCCTGCCTCAGCCTCCCAGAGTGTTGGGATTACAGGCATGAACCACCACACCTGGCCCTATTATTTTAAAGAGGCATTTATCTCTCTTACATATTCAGTATCTCTGTTAAAGTTTTACTGAGAAGAGGCCTCCTTTGATTTGTGCAATTCATTAATGCTCACTAATCATTGCTGAGCTGTTAGGTTGCATGGTGCAGGCTGTATGTGCACACATCATATCAATCCAGTTCTCAAAGTAACCCTGAGGGACGAGCCTGTACCCACTAGTTGGAGCAGGGCTCAGATGCTAAGCGGCTCCTGAGGAATGAGATTGTGTGTGGCAGAGCCCCAGCTTGGATGAGAGCGTGCTACCTTACCCACTGAGTGTCACTTTCTCAGTCAGCAGGGGGCTACTTTGAATGTCCTGTCACAATTGTGTTTATGGCAGGAGTTCCTGGCATAGAAATTCACTTTTTCCATAAGCCCCAAGGGTCCCCCGTGCAGCGGTGATCACAGGCTCTAGGGTCAACGTGTTGACCACTCTGGCATGTTCCCAGACCATGTTGGGAATGGCCGAATATTGGCACAGCCTGTATATTTCTCTTGATGGCTTACTGATAAAGGTGGTCATACTTTTGCAAAAAGTGATGAGACAATTTTACAATAAATGAAAATAAATAGCTCTATGTGTCAGAACCTCAGGGAGCAGGTGGTTTCAAACTTCAGATTCTGAGATGTAAATCCAGACATTTTGAGAACCAACAAGAGAAGCAGGCCTCCCAATTCCTCTGCTGTGAAGGCTCTTACAGGGTGGAACTGCTGTCTCCCCTCCCTGCTGCCAGCCCTCTTGTCCACTGGGCACTGGCACCAGGAAGACTGGGGCACAGAGGCCCTGACCAGGACCTTCACACCAGCATCATTGGGGCCTTACGCTTCCGCCCAGGCCTTTTACTGGAATCTACATTTGCTCCTCAGTGTGTCCTCTGGGGTCACCTTGCTGGGGTGGTCTCAGTGTGGGGAACTGGTTGTCACCCTCCTGGTCATAGGGGTCATCCTGGGAATTATGCACTGCTCCTAAGACAACCTCCAGTTCACCCCAATTCAACTCTTTTTTAGTCTCATCTTAGGCCAAACTACTGAATTATGTACCTACTATTGAAATTTGAGTTGTGCAAAAAACTGTTGCTCAATTGTTTTTCAGTATGTGTTACACTGTCACTTGCTATTGTAATTTTCACCTCAGCTGGAGCTCTGATTCTGTTGTCTATGGTTGTATGGCATAGGTAGCTTTATCTGCAGAAAACTTTGTCATAATTACCTGGAGCGAGAACTAGAGGTAGTGTGTCAGCCTGAGCTGTTGATCACTGTCCAATCCCAGTCCCCATGCACACGTACACGGACGGGTGTCTGGTGTTTGGACTCTTCCAGGATATTTTTTAAAAGTCAAACAAATCACATAGTGTTTTCCCTACATAACAGGGATGTTATGGCATGTGCATGGATGGGACTGCTCTGACTGTGCTCTGTGATCACAGACTCCTGCCTGTCACTGATCTGGCCCTTGATGTTGGGGCAGGGGGATGTCACAGGTAAATTTCAGGCTGTCTGTTCAAGGTCAGCACCTTTTCCTGGTTGAGGCCATTTGTTTACCCAGGTAGATGTGACAGCCTTTTTTTATAGACACTTGGCTTCAGGTAGGTACCATCCAACTCAGGAGTGTTCAGAACGCAGGTCACCTACTAGAATTAAATCTCTGGGAGATCAGAAGCTGTGGTGAGTTTAATTATAGCTGGTTGTTCAAAATATGGGATCTAGTGATCCTAAGCTATTAATATAAAAGTTTTAAATGAAAGAAAGAGATTTAAGAAATTGGGATAATATTGATCCATATTTTTTCCTAAATGAGAAGCAGATTTGGCCTCTTCCGGTGACACTGTCTGCAGGCAGTGTTTAACATACCGTCTTAGGCTTTCCTACAATACAACCTCTAACAAAACTCGGTTGTCTCGAACCACTGGTAATAGAATTGGTTACCTTTATACCAAGAAGGTTGGGAAAGCACCAAAATCTGCATGTGGCGTGTACCCAGGCACACTTGGAGGGGTTTGCGCTGTGAGACCTAAAGTTCTTATGAGGTTGTCTAAAACAAAGAAACATGTCAGCAGGGCCTGTGGTGGTTCCATGTCTGCTAAATGTGTTTGTGACAGGATCAAGTGTACTTTCCTTATCAAGGAGCAGAAAATCATTATGAAGGTGTTGAAGGCACAAGCACAGAGTTAGAAAGCTAAATAAGAAAATGAAGCTTTTTTAAGTAATAAAAATCAAAAGGCTTATTCTCTTGGTGGGGGGAGAAGTAGGTTTGGAATTTTCTGGATCCAAGGTCCTAGTTCCTGCATTTTTTCCTCTGGTCCTTATCAGCATATTTCATTTTAGAAAATAAAAATAAATGTTAGAGTTGCTAAGTTTAAATTATTAGTAGAAAATTCCCTACCTCAGATATTAAAACCAACGTTAACGGAAAGGTCATGTCCCCTGAAATGTGAGTAGGGTGAGGGTCTCAGGACCCTCTGCTGCTTGCGCAGCAGAGAGAGCCCAGGCAGTGAGGGAGGCACTACACCCTCGAAGAGGACAGGCCAGGCCAGGGCTCACCAGTCACAGTCTGTTGTAAGGTCAGCTCTGGCAGATTCTCTTTGGAATAAGAATATAAATTAATTTTGCATCCAAAATTGGTTAAATTATTCTGAAATTCAAACATGTTAACCCTTGGGCCTGTGTTCCGCCCCGGTCGTAGTCACCTCCCTTCATCCTCTTTTATAGAGGATTGTGGACAAGGGTGAACACAGATGTGGCCATGAGCCCTTCCTGCTTTCTTGGAGAGTGTCCTGAGAAGCCCCAGCATCCTTTCTGAGGCAGCAGGGCCTGCTGGCGGGAGGGCTGACCGGGCTGCTGTCAAGGAGGAGAAGGCTTATGGTGTCCTGTGTCATGTTCTTCTTGTGTCACATCTATCTGCAGAGAACGTGGACGAGACTAGAGAAGAGAAAGAGAAGAGTCCTCCAGACCAGCCTGCCGCCCCCAACACCCCTCCCAGCACTCCCATCAAGCTTGAAGAAGGTGAGCCCTGGGGTGGAGGCAGGTGCCTGGTTGCCCTGCTGCGGGAGGGTGCATGGCCTCATGTGCACTGTGACTGAGTGTGGCAGTAGTTCTGCTCACACTAATGAAGACGTGTGCATTTGCATTGAAACCAGTACATGACATGGTTCTGAAGTCCCCTGGCCTTTTATCCTCCTGTGTTGGTTATGTCCTGAGTAGCCTGAACAGATTCATTAATGAGCTGTTATGACCAGGTAGGAAGGCAAACTGCAGGGATTGGGGCCACCGTCATTTCTGATATCAATTTTGCCCATTGCTTGCACACTTCTCATACTGTATTGTGTTTAGATAACACTTCTGGAAATGCCTTACGTTGTGTTTGAGCTACAGGACTTTGCTGTATCAGTCAGTCCACTGAGAGTGCTCTACTCCAGTCACTTCTCAGATCCCCGCATGTCTGTGGTGTGATCCCAGACGTTTGTCCCTCAGTCTTGTACATCCGTGTCTCCCGTGAAGCCTGTGGCTCACCCGTCCCCGTCCTGTGTTCTGTAAGACTGGCTCGGCCTTTCTTCTTGTGTAACCCAATGGCTGTGACTGAATGCAGAGATTCTCTACTTGTGCTTTTCTCTTCTCGTGGCTGCCTTACACACAGGAGATGGATGTGCTAAAGAGTACCTGTTGCCGTAGTAAGTACCCCATGCCTGGCCCTGCTCTTCTGCCAGGATGCCCTGTGCTTCGCCTCATTCTCTTGCTTCTTTGTTGTTTATTAAATTTTGTTTTCTGTTTATTCAAAATAAAAACAGAGGCCCCCTTTTTTGTATCTAGTCCCTCAGTGGCCTTCCTGGAAGTGGCTCGGTCACCTGAGCACTGTGCTGGACAGCCTGCCTGGGCATGAGGAAGGGCTCCTATGGAGCTTCTGCACCTTGCCACTCTGAGCAGTCCGGGCCTCAGAGAGTCTTCTGTTCAGCCTTTGAGAATCTCTTTTGATTGCTTAGTGGGAAGATTTTACATTGGATCAGACATAAATCCAGAGTAGGTTCACACAGGGTGGGATTCTGCCACTTGGTGCATGGAGTTGGGTTTGGTTGGACCTCTGCTTAAGCTAGGACAGAAAAGTGGTATTTAGTACTTTTTAAAAAATGTGACATTTGGTCAAATGATGAAAGTTCTCCTGAGTACCCCCCAGGAAGCCTCTTTCTTAGAGCATTAACTACAGCACGTTCGGCAGAGCAAGCCCACCACTGTGTGCTGCAGCCTGTCTCCTGCCCCAGTGAAGTGTGGCCTTGAATTCTGGAGCAGAAGGCAGCTGGTGGGTGGGGACTGGGGTGCTTCCAGCCTCCCAAGTGTCAGGGGCCCAGAGCCGCCTGCGCTGCTAACCTGGAGCTTAGCTGGACTCTTCCCTGCTGTCCTGATGTTCGGTTGGAAGTTTAAGTACTAAATGGTTTGGTGCTGCCTAACATGCCAGTCGCTTATAACCTTGTAGGCTATTAAAGACTCCACAAAACTGGTGTCCCTTGGGTTGGTGTAGAAAGCACACAGTGGCACCAGCCCCCAGGTGGTTTCTTTAAAAGATAATAACATTTTTCTCTGCACCCTTAGCTATTCCAGATGTAAGATGGCTTGATTCTTTTGCCCTACTCCTTGCCTTAGAGTCCATCTCTTTTCTCTTAATTAACTGCCCTGCCTAAATGGCTTTATTCTGTTGGATGTTGATGTCACACATGGGGTCTGGAGGAAACTCATGGTTTTCTACTGGCTGTTCTGAGGGAGACCAGGTATTGTGGACCCAAATTTACGCTTAATTTCGGGACTACTAATACATGCCCTTAGGGGTATAGAGCAAACTTTTATACTCCTTTTCAAGTGTTCAGTACAGAATGCTGAACTCCGTAACACTGCTTGCTTCAATGCCATCTGTCTTTATGGCTGGGGGACAAGGCCCTGTGACTGAGTCTGGTTTTGTCAGCACGCTATCCATGAGAAGCAGCTAAAAACCGCCCCGAGACTGTACCTACATTGTGTAACATTAGCTCCATCCAGCCTTAGTCTAGTTTCTTGTCATGGTAAAAATCTATAATGTAAGATAAAATGGCAGTTCCCTGTGCTGGGCACTTGTATCTCACGCTGCCCCTTGCGATCTGGGCAGGAGCCCTTAACCCTGTCTCTCCACCCCACCCACCAGACCCTCCACAGGAGCCGACTTCTGGAGACGACAGTGATGCTGCCACCTTCAAGCCGACTCTCCCTGACCTGTCCCCTGATGAGCCTTCAGAAGTGCTTGGCTTCCCGACATTAGAGGAGGAGGAGGAGGAGGAAGCCTGTGGACTCCCAAGTCCCACCAAGCCCCCCACTGTGGCCTCCCCAGCCCCAGCGGCTGAAGAGGCTGCCTCCCCAGCTGCAGAGGAGGGGGCTGCCGTAGACCCTGGCAGTGATGGGTCTCCAGGCAAGTCCCCATCCAAAAAGAAGAAGAAGTTCCGCACCCCTTCCTTTCTGAAGAAGAGCAAGAAGAAGAGTGACTCCTGAAGGCCTGCCCTGCACTAACACTGTCGTGTCTGAAGTGACCCTGGCTCCGCCAGAGTCCCTGATTGCGTCTCGTGCTCTGTCCTCTTGTGTAATGGAATGCAAAAAGCCAAGCCCTCTGCCTAGCTAGAGCTCCCCTCTCACGTATGACAGTCCCGTACAGACCGGTGCTAGCCGACTGTGTGCTCAGCAGCCCCCGGCCCACCCGTGGGCCTCGGCCTCAGGTTCTGGGGGAGGCTTGGCCTCTGCCTGCTTCTCTGAGACGTGCTCTCCCTGTGGACGGGGGCACTAAATCGTGTCCTGGCCGGAAGGCAGTGGAGACTTCTGCCAGCTCTAGTTGTGGGCTTCACCCTCCTGATCCTTGACCTTCTCCTCCCCTTTTGCCATGAAACGGCACATTCTGTCTCTGCTCAGCTTCCTGTCCACCCCGCAGTGTCTCAGGTGACTGAATCAGACTCATGACTTCCTGCTGGCATCATCTGCTCAGTGGTCTCACCTTAATCTTATACACAAAGCCTTGGTCCCGTGAAAACACTCGTGTGCCTGCCATTGGCCCAGGGTACCATGGCTGCCTTGAAGAGGTGGGTTTGGGCTGATGCTGGGCAGAAGCCCCAGTGGCACTCGGGCCTGTGTATACTTAACGCAACGCTATGCATGGTCTGATTACCCCTTGACCAAAAACAGATTCAGGAGCTCATGGTTTCCTATTCACTTGGGTCTCTGGATTCTTGTCCTAGTGGGAAGGTATATCAGGAAGGGGAAGAGTCCTTTCTAGAATTTTCTTTCAGCAGACTTACAATTCAGCCTACATTTTTGACTGTGAACACGAACAGGCCGCTTTTTGTTTTTGTTTTTCCTAGAGCCTGCAACAGAACACTGGTCACATTTTGGGGGAAGTTTCAGGGGATCTATTTTCACCTTAGCCTGAAAGGTACCCTGGTTTTGATAAAAAGTGACTCAAGGCAGGAGCTTGATGGTCCTGCGTAGCACTTTGCATCAGGTATGGCACCTGTAACTTGCACTCCTTGATCAAGACCATTTTGAGTTTTCCCTTAACTCCCTGGAAAAGGGCTTGAAGCTTAGTGAGAACTGACAGGTGGCCAGATGGAGTCCTCAAGGGTGACCCATTCTAGGAGCTGCCCGGTGCCAGCCTAGCTGGGTGTGGGCAAGTGTGCTGGGACCCCAGACAGGCCCCTACCAGCGAGGGGTCCCTGGTGGAGCTGGTGCCAGACATGGGCTTGGGTCTTGGGCATGGTGGGCTGAGCCACTTTGGGTCCGACTGACTTGGCCCCCAAGCAGGACCTGGGGCTGGCTGTGTGGCACTGACTGTTGCTTTGAGTTTCCTGACTCCGCAGGGCCTGTACTGGCAAGCGAGCTGCTTTCCTCTGTGTGCTGTTCATTGCCAAGGGGGTATTAACATACTTCGCTTAGTCGTGGGCTCTTCCTTCATCCCCTTTCACCCCTTCCTTCTATCCCACATATGCAATGACTTTTAATTTTCACTTTTGTAGTTTAATTCTTTGTATTACCACATGAAATATAGTTGCATATATGGACACAGACTTGGGAGGGCAGGTCCTAAATGTCCTTTCTTCATTGTAACATGTTTTACTCACAAATAAAATTCTTTAAACAATTTCCTTGTCTAAATCTGGGAAGCAGTTTTAATTTCTTTGCTCACTTTTTTTTTTTTTGAATCTCGCTTTGTTGCACAGGCTAGAGAGTGAGTGCCGTGGCATCAGCCTAGCTCACAGCAACCTCAAATTCCTGGGCTCAAGCCTCAGCCTCCCAAGTAGCTGGGACTACAGGCATGCACCACCATGCCCGGCTAATTTTTTCTATATAAGTTGGCCAATTCTTTCTATTTATAGTAGAGATGGGGTCTTGCTCTTACTCAGGCTGGTTTTGAACTCCCGACCTTGAGCAATCTGCCCACCTCAGCCTCACAGAGTGCTAGGATTACAGGCGTGAGCCACCGCACCAGGCCTTCTTTGCTCACTTTTAATAGGATTTCTAGAAGTTTGTCTCATGTTCCAAAAAGAGATCCCTAAAATGCTTAGGGATCTAATGTAATGTGGTTTGTTAATGAGGGGTGGGGAGGACGGTCTAGCCCAGTGTTCCTGTTGTCCTCCCGAGGGTGTCCAAGAGCTGCCTGGCTGGGCTTGAAGGCCACAGAAAGCTATGCTGACACTCCTTGTTCCCCACAATTTGAGCAGACCCCAGATCTCACCCTCACTGTGGCTCAGCAGACAGTAGGGTATCCACGTCTGACAGGGTCTGTTTTGGGGACAGCCCAAGGGTCCTTTCCCCCAGCCTGCCAAGGTGCAGGACACATGCCCAAACATCACTTGCAAGGGCTGACCCCAGCCTAGTAGGGCCCTGCGTCTGGCCCCCATCACTGTGCGGAGAGGAAACTCTTCTGGCCAGTGGAACAATAGAGGCCGGAGCTGTGGCTGCCTCTCCTGGGAGTGGGTGGCGAGGCAGAGCCTACACTGGAGAAAGGCACTTGGTATAAAATAGCTGCTTTATTTTGTCATTCAGGAACCTGGACAGCCTGTGCTGCTGATTAAAAAACGGGCAGAAACCTTGAAGGCCTTGGAGTCAGTGCTTGGAGTGACAAGGCAGAGGCCACCTGGGGAGCTGCGGGGTGAGGGCAGGCAGGGGCCTGGCCCAGGCTCTCTCTTCCTGCACCCCACAGCCCGCACGCAGCAGCTCAGCTATTCGGCCTTGAGCGTCTGCGCTGGGCACCCCAGCTTCCACAGGAGGAGGAAGGGGAGCAGGAAGAGCCCCGAGCACACTGAGAAGCAGACCTGGGCCCCGGCCAGCCAGTACCCTGTGGAGAGACGAGGGGCGCTCATGCACGGCCCGTCCGGCCCCCAGATGGCAGGACTGAGCAGTGGTCTTAGTGGGGCTGGGACTGGGGAGGTGAGGGCAGGCACGGGGAGCTGAGGGGGCTTGAGGGGAGCTGGGCACCTGGGTCCCTGGGGAATAGAGCATGCCCCTGAGTGCTGTCCCACACCCTCACCTGAGGCTGCCACCACTGGCCCCACAGCCCTGGCCAGAGCGCCCAGGCTCCGCAGCGTGCCCATGACTGTGCCCTTCTGCCCTGGCGAGCCTGTGGGGAGAGGCCGTCAGGTGCCTGCCTGTCCCTCCCACCATGGGCATCCCCGGTCAAGGGAAGGGGTCTCACCATAGCCAGCGACCACAGAGGACAGGCAGGGCACCACGACAGAGGCGGCTGGGGGGGACATTGGGGAGGCACAAGTCAGCCCAGAGAAGAAGTGTGACCCAGCCCCCCAATCAGGTCCCCCCCACTCACCGAAGGAGTACAGCAGCAGCCCCAGGCCCAGCACGGGTAGCGTGTGTCCCCAGCCGATGAGGAGGAAGGCAGGCACCAGCAGCAGGATGGCCTGCAGGGCAGGGCACACAGGCCTCAGGACCAGCCCTGCTTCCCAAGCGCAGAGTACCACCTGCCACCCACGTCAGGGGGAGCTTCCCTACCCGCTTCACGGCTGCAACTTCCCTGCCAGGGCTGATCCGCCGGGTGTAGATGCCCTGGATAGTGGCCATGGTGAGGCCGATGAAGAAAAACATCTTCCCCTGCTGCAGGCTGGGAGCGGGGGGGGGGGGGGGGGGTGTCAGTGCCCCAGCGCTGTGGGCCCCAACAGCAGGGTAGGGCAGCCCAGGGGTAGAGCCAGGACAAGAGGAGTGGCCCAGAGGCTTCCTGGGGTGGGGCGTTAGAGACAGGGAGACAGCAGGGCATCCCCAGAGACCCACCTGCTGAACTGGAAGCGCTGGTGTGCGAGGAAGCTCAGCGAGTACTCCAGGCCGGAGAACAGGAAAAGGTAGAGGAAATAAACCAGGCCCAGGTGGCGCAGGCTGCCGAGCCCTGGGGAGCAGGCGGGAGGGCGCTCTGAGTGCGACCGCCACGGGGAAGGGCTGGCCCAGGCAGCCCAAGGGAGCGAAACCTGCACACCCAGCTCCTTACTTTCTCCAGTGGGTGGGTCCTGGCCACGGGCAACAGCCGAGAAACGCAGTAGGGCCACAGGGCTGAGCAGATCAGTGGCATCTCGGAATCCCAGGGCGACAGAGGGTGCCTGCGGGGACCAATTGGAGAGGCCTGCCAGGAGGCGGGGATGGCTTCTGGCCTGGTGCAAGACCTCTGCACCCTGCAGGGCCCCCAAGACACAGTGTAGCCCCAGGAAAGGGCAGCCTAGCCTCCCCTGGCATCTGGGATTGGCACGTGGGGACATTCTACAGACCATGGACCAATCCCGCCCCCGGGGCCTGTCAGTTCTAGGCTAGGCCCCGGCCCTACCCGCTTCTCTTGTGGCAGCGTCTCCGGCAGGAAGCAGAAGATGAACAGCAGGTCCGAGACTGCAAAGAGCAGGGCGAACCAGGGTGCTGCCTCCACGGACACGGAGGCACCGAGCATGGGGCCCAGTGTGAAGCCCAGTGAGAAGGCCACCCCGATGACCGCCTGGGGAGAAGGCTGTCTGAGTTGGGCAGGCAGACCAGGCCCAGAAGTCCCCACCCAAACCCCTCGTCCCCCAGCCTGTACTCACCATGCCTTGGCTGCGGGCTGGAGGGGAGCCCAGGTCAGCGATGATGGCTGTGGAGAGGCTCACGTTCCCCTTGCTGATGCCCCCGATCACCCTAGAGGCCAGGAAGGCCGCGAAGCTCCGAGAGGCAGCCCACACGGCATAAGAGGCGGCCAGACCTGTCTGCCCAGGGACAGGGGCCAAGGGACAGGTCACTTGAGGCCAGGAGGGCCCCAGAGTGGGGCTTGGCAAACCCAGGCAACCCTTCTTGAACCTTGCCCTGTTCTGAAGCATCCAAGGGCCACTTGTGTTCCTGATGTCCCCCTAGGTGGCCAGGAGCAGCAGCTCCTAGACAGCCTGGCACAGCAACGGGAGCCACCACTTGCTCAAGCACCCCGTCTGGGAAGTGACAAGGGCCAACCAGTGGCCATGAGCAGCCCACAGTCACCCCTTTCCCCAGCCCAGCCCCACAGGAATGCTGGGTGTGGGGAGGCTACATGCTCCCACCCTTTGGGCACACAGCTCCAGGGATGTACCAGGGACAGCAGCATCACCGGGCGCCTCCCCAGGCAGTCGGACATGGCCCCAGTGATTGGTGCCGAGAGGAACTGCAGGGCGGAGAAGGCTGAGCCAATGAGACCTGAGAGACAGAGGTACTGTCATGGGGCTGCCTTGGGCCACAAGCTGTGGCCCCAGGGCCCCCAGGGATAGCATCCAGCTCAGTGCCTGAAGGTCTGATCACACTGGGCCCTGCATTCACAGGCCACGGACCTTGGGCCACAGGGGACCCAATGGAGAGACAAGAAAGGACACAAGGAAGTGGCACATCATGCCCCAGAGCCAGAATGTGTGGGCAAGGTTACCAGATTGATGGAAGCCCAGGGAGTGAAAAGGGAAGGACAACGTCCACCAAACATAGGACCCTAGAGAGCCCCCAGCTTGGGTCAGGGTCCATACCTCCGAATAGGACGCTGTTGTATCTCTTCTCCACTGGCATTCCAATGGCTGTGGCAAACCAGTCCACCCCACGCTGCCACGAGCCATAGAGGGGGTCCTGGGAGATAAGGAGGCAACAGGGGCTGGGCAGGTCGGTGCCGGGCTTGGGGAGGGGGGCACTTCAGCCAAGGGCGGGAAGCTCACGTGGGCACGGCTGTGGCTCTCCAACAACCCGGGCAGCAGGGGCAGCAGCAGAGTGAAGGCTAGAAGGTCTAGCAGGAGGCCCAGGAAGACCACGGTGACCACGCGGCGTTCTGGCGCTGGCTGCTGGCGGATGGGTGGGCGCGGGGTGCAGCTTCCACCGCCTCCCCGTCCCATGTTGGTGCGCTGCTCCGACCTGGTCTGGCCAGGGGTGTGGCAGGTCCAGTGAGGACACACGTCTGGACACTCCAGCACCCAGCCCCGCCATGCCCCCGACCCGCCAACAGCCTGCGAGCCCCCTAAGGGGATGCCTGTCCAGCCCTGCTGGAGGGTGCCCGTCTCCCCCGCCCCGGACAGCAGGACACTCAGGCTTCCGGGGTTGCGCACAGAAGCCGCAGCTACAGAGGCCGCCCACCAGGGGCCGCGTGGCGAGGGCATCGCGGCCCACGTCCTGGTAACCAGCTGGGCAGGGAAATTGAGGCAGGGGGCGGGACCTGGGCGGGCGCGCGCGCCGACCCTGCGCCACGGGAGCCGGCCCCCACCCCTGGCTCAGCCTCCTAGGCAGGGGCGCGGGGCCGCCGGACCGGGAGCGCTCACCCGCGCCGCGCCCCCGTCAGGACCACTGGCCCGCCCGCACCTGCCGCAGCTGCGCGCTCAGGACCACGATGGACAGACTGACGGACGCACGCACGCGGGGCGCACCCGGGCGCGCTGCAGGGCGGGGCTGGGTGCGCCCGCCTCGGAAGTGACTTTAGGAGCGCGTCCTCTTCCGGCCGGCGGCGCCGGCTGGTGGGAGGCTGCGCCCTGCCCTGTGCCTTGGCTGGGCGGCCGCGAGTCTCGCCGCACATTGGTTGACGCTGCGGGCCGGAGCCGGGACCCACGCAGATCCCGGCCCTGGGGCTCGGAGCCTGGCGTGAGCGACAGGCCGCGGCCTCACGCGCCCAGCCTCTGCCCCAGGTTGCCCCTCGCCCC